GGTAGGACCGGAAGGTCTACCGGGATTTGGGACGGAAGTCCCCTGAGACACATGGATTGGAAGATCCTATAGAGTTATGGCCTGGAAAGGCGTATGTGGGGTATGTGGTATTTTGGGGAACTCACTAAACATTTATGTTTACAGTTGTTGTGTGATGTGTTTCAGGTACTAGCGAGGATCGCGGGAAGGCGCCGGCATGATCCGTACACACTTATGGAGTTTATGATATTGAGATCTTGGGACATGTTTTGTTATGTTACAGTGGACACATTATGTTTTTATGATTATCGTGTGAATGAAAGTATGTTTTTAAATGAAAAATTGTTTTGAAAAAAAATTACGTCGTTACAGTTCAAATCATGGGATCTTTGGAAGAGGTTCTAAGTGAACTGGTTGCACCTCAATGAGGTTCTGTGTGAGCCGAGTTCAAAACATGAAAATCTATGTGATTAGAATTATATGTTTGATAGAGTTTTGGAGATTAATCAATGTGAGTTGAAAGAAAGGGTTATGTGTGTGTGTGTTGAATCCAAGTTATGGGTGAACCATGAAGATTAGCAACCTTTGCGGTGAAGCTATCCTGTGTGGAGAAGCAAGTCAACGTGAGAAGAAAATAGATATGTGTGATCAGAAGACGAGAACTCTGTTCACCTGCAAGTGTGTGTGGGCAGGTTGAAGAAAGAAAAGAAGATCTGTGTGATTTGTTGGTACTTTACAAGAAAAAAGAATCGAGTTAGGAACAATGCCAACAACAAAAGAGGACTTTTTGGACGTGACCGAGGTGGAGGTGGAGGTGGAGGTCGGGTGTCTGGGAATGGTCGATATGGTTTGAGGTGAAGGTTGTTTTGAGGGTGATTTAGTGTTGGTGTGAGTGAATGGCGTGGACAAACCGATTAAGGGGGTGATTGTTGGGTTAATTGGTTTGTTTAACGGGTTAACGGGCAAGCAGATCGTGGATGTCGTGTCATCGAATAGATTCAGATCAACAAAAAACCTGGTCTTTAGTTGACTAAGTTTGGAGAAAATAAAGTGGCTTAGTAGCCACCTGATTAGTCACATGTTTTGCTATCTTTTAGTTTTTTCTTTTATTTGGTGTATGTTAACTATGTGTAGTATTTTCTCTTTTGGCATATCAGATAATAAGAAAACTATAAAACTTCTCCATCTCCTTCTTTCTATTGCATCTTTGATTTCATATACATACGTGAGTGTTGTGTGGAGTGTGGGACCTGAACCTACAAAAATTTCCAGACTTAATCTTGTTGAATCGGATAAAAACTATTTAGTTGCCAATAGATGTTTCGTTTCGGTTAATTTAAGCTTGCAGTGGACTTAGGATTGGAAAAACAGAATCAAAATTGGTTGCTCTGAAAAATCAATAACAATTAATATGATGATTTCGATTTCGATTTTGAATTTTGATTGAGAACCTAACTAAAAAACTAAGAAACAAGAATATGGATTCATAAGAAATCGGAACTTAGAAGTCACTTGTTCATTTAATATGATGATATCAGCTGTTGGGGGAGAGGCTTAATGAGGACGTTGCCTAGAAAATTGATAAATTTTCGTTTAAAATTCTCCTTTTGCCTCCAAATTTGTTTCCCCATTTCTTTCTAATGCTTATAATCATATAGTATATATTTTGTTTTTTTTTCCTATAGTAAATATACTATTTAAATTTAAATATGTTAGATATATTGGAGGCCCATGCCATGCCCAAATTCCCCCTGCTATTGGGTTGACAACTAAAATGTTCATTTTTTTTTAACAATTCATCATGGTGTAAGATGTGAACATGGTGTGGGCTTTCATGCATTCCAAAAAATGAGCTAAATGATATGACTAGTAATTATGTTGTTATTTCATACAATCTGCCTCATGTCCTTGGCTGTTCCCTTATCTTCTCAAACTTAAATCGAACAAGTTGAATATTTATCAAAAACTTATCTTTCACACATACCAAATTGTAAACCATGGCACCTTGGGTGGTTAATAATGACGATGATGAAAATTCAGAATCCGACTCACCAAGTGATTCCTAATAGATATGGAGGATTTATCTTTGAGTCTTCATTAATTATATTAATTTTGTTAGGTAAAGTGACACCCAGGTAAACTAATATTACATCTTACATGACATTCATTGTGTCATCCAATATGACATTATTTGTTCACTTATGTCTATTCAGTGTTTTTGTTGCTGATATTAAGTTCAATCTATAATCCAATATGAATTTTCTTTCCCCATGAAATCCACTATATTAATAAAAACCTAATATAAGTTGATTGATCCGTCTAATTACAAAATAATTGACCTAACAAATAATATTAATTGTCATTTTAAGAGATTATACCTTAAATTAAATTAAATATTTATAATGTACTTTATGCGATGGTAGTAATATCCTTATCGTTGTTTAGTAACTAAAAGCGACAATGTACTATTTTTATATATATTTAACTTATGTTAGAATAATAGAATTCGAGCAAGTAGCAACACGGGCCCTCCCTTGCACACTCACCAACTGCCGAATATTTTACTTAAGTTAATGTGCATACCAACTTTTAATTTTATAAATATAAAGTTCAAACGTTTATCTTCAAAATATGACATAAAATGATGTATTATGTACTTTATGAACACCAAAAACAAAAACTACTTTAGATATTTCTTATGATAAATTGCAACCCAAGATGAAGTAAACAACTATTATTCTTGAATACAATGACCTTTAAATTATTTAAAGGAAAGTGAGAATATTATAACAAAACCAGTAATATTTGCTTCATTTTTAAACAAAGCAGGCAACTGGATTGTCACCGACCTTCCACCAAATTAAATTCATAGAATCTTGATTACGATATCTTAAATTTTAAATTATTCATACACCTCTTGGATCTGTAAATGTACTTATTTTATAATAAAATTTAATTTTTGATATAATTCATAATATATTTAAAATGCCTTTTGCCAGAAAGATGATTATCAGGGGAGAACTTTGGGACCGAATAATTGTTTTTAAAACCGAAATCATTCCCAAACCGGAACCAAGGTTTGTAATATTTATGATTTTTGATAGTTAATATTTACGGTGTGTAATGGTCAAATTTTAAGATTCAACTATCACTATAGAATAGTATACTTATTCGCTTTTTAATGCCAACAAAAACCAACGTGGCATAATCGATGAAAACAAATAATTCAATTTGAGTTGGCTCGAGTGGAGTTTACCCGTGACCATAGAAGTTTATATCTTTAAGTAAAATTATAACAACTTTCCATTTATTGGCTGGCTTTTTAACTAACTTTTATTATTCAACACGTTTACAATAAATACAACTAAAATCAATTGCAGGTAAAAATATATAGAACTTGAGTACTTGACGTTTTTACAAACATAAAAATAAATTACATTCAAGACTTGCAAAAAACTTATTTTTGCATTCATTACTGATCACCAAAAATAATAAAGCATTAACTATGTACGGCAGTCGATGACAAGTAAAAAGAAAAACAGAATCTTAATGTTCATTTTTTAAAAACAAATTAAATAATATTATATTTATATATTCCTGAATGTGGTCAAGCAATTGTAGAACTTCTCTATACAAAATTGCTCATATGATTACAATTCATTTTTTTTTCTTTTTTATAATTGGAAAAAATGAAGGACAATAAAAGAAATTAGTGTCAATACAAGGGCATTATCGGGAATTTGTCTTGTTGATCCTCCAATGGTGAAACTTGGCAGCCATGATGAACCGTTTGGGTCATCTTCGAGAACGGGTGCTCTTGGAATCATCGGTGGTGAATTTGTTGTTGTTCCGGTTGATGGATCGGTTGAAGACTTTCGACTGAAAATAACAAAAGGAAAAAAAAAGAATCATCAATCATATATCTATAACGTTAAAATTATGTTATTTACTTCATTGTTATGTAACTTTACTCGAATGACCTAAAATATATAAATGATATGATTTTACCTTGTTGATGTGGGGCAAAACGTGATTGTATAATCCGCTCCCGTGCATGTAAACGTACTAGTGGCATCATCATACGCATAGCTATACGATCTTGGACATGCCGATTTAAACATCTCGGAATACACTGATGGGCGACAAGTATCTGGTGATCCAAATGATCCGCTACAACAATATTCCTCATTCCCAAAAGCCTCACAAGCGCTTTTGCAAGCTTGTCCATTTCCTACTCTTAATTCGGGTGGACACATTCGGTTTAAATCGGTCACACACCCTGTGGTACCACATGCACCCGATCCGCCACTAGCATCAACCGCCATAGGTAAATTGTATCCATCCACTAGGCTTACATCATAGAAATCCAGTGTGCTTGACCCTGACACTGATCCTGATACTGACAGTGATCCGATTGTGAACTCGGCTAGGGTTGCAGGTGGGGTCGCTCCGGCCCCATTACATGACATTTGATTGGAGCCACAGTCAGCGGTTGCACAACTTCCTTGACCATTTGAGTCAAAGGTGCAACCGGTTCTACCCCAAAATCGGCCGGACCAACCGGGTGAGGCTTGTAAGGACCGTGACTCACCCGGGCTGAGTTCGAACCCCGTGCTATCCAATGGTGTACTGCCCGCACTTGATAATATCCCGGGCCATACCATGTAATCACACCTATTTTTAAAAGTGAATGTACTTCCCAATATTCCTGAAATTACAAAATCAATTGAAAAAAAGTAATTAGAGATTATTAAAATGTTAATTTCACAACAATTTACTCATAACCATGTTATTTCATATTTTCATTTCACTATTTCTAACTTATATGTATAAGTTAGAAACATTCATTTTTGCATGTATCCATTGTGGAGTACTAAAGAAATGTTTTTAAACAATCTTTGTATAGTTAAACTCCAAAGAGTTCACGTGACTACACCTTTTTCATGACTTGGGAATCCGATCTGATTGTGAATATATCAAGGGATGGAAGCTTGCGCTGCAGTCACCAGATCCATCCCTAGTGATTTACAAACAACCCATAAATGCAAGTTTCAAACTTGAAACATTTAATGTATAATAAATAATTTAATTACAAGTTACAACTACGTACTTAGATGAGATTACTTGACCATAACTACATGATACATGAGATAAATGTCTTTTCAAACTTTTGTTGTATGCTTAGTATTTTCATTGCACGAATGATCATGCGTCCCCATCAATAGTAACGTACATAATATCAAGGGATCGTTTGAAAAAGGGTTGAAAATTTTGTTTCTCTATAATCTTTTAACAGATTGTAAGATTAAAGTTTGAACTTTGGAAACGATGATGTTGCGTTAAGATTCATTGAACCCAAATTAGTAAAATAAAAATAAAAATTGCTTACCTTTAGAGATCGTCAAGAAAAAGAAGGCTACATAGCAAGAACAAGAAACAAATGAATGTGTTGCCATTTATGGAAACATGCAAGTTTGAGTATATGCCTGCACAACTATTGTTGGAGGGTTCTTCTGGGGTATGAAGCACCACCGATTAGAGGGTTATAACTCCTTCTAAACGCTAAAGAAATGTGGAATTCAGTTAGGCCTATATGAACTTGAAGTTTTAACAATGAAGTTTTTGGTTTGCTTTGAACGAAAAATGACAGAAAGGGGGATCTTGTGAGATTGCCAAACTAAGTTTTGTAGGGTGTTTCAATGTACTAGTGTGTGCGTTAAGTATGTGTTTTGTCTTTATGATGTATAGATACAAGCGTGTGTATGTATAGGAATTTTTATTATAATGGGAAAGAGAGAATATAAGGATGGAGATTGGAGAAATGGAGGTGTAAAGCTGAGGCAAACTTTAGGAAAGTTGGTTACTTGTTTTCTATATCACTTTAGGTCGATAGTGTGCTTTGTTACTTGCAATTGTAAGGTGGAAGTTAATATCTGGTTATCCCAAAGCCATTAACTATTTCCTAGCTAGCTTTTTTTTTGAACGGCAGGCATTATATATATTACTTGAAAAAGATCGAGAAGCTAAAAAAACAGATGAAAAACAACAAAAAAAAAGAAAAAAAAAAACAGGAACATAAACATAACATTTTTTAGCACATTTCAGCCAATGAATTAAAACACCGGTCACTCCATCTTAAAGGTTCACTTTTCTTCTTCCGAACATTAATGCAATAGATGTGATAAGATCTGTACCTCAATTGCTAAAGCTGATTTTGATTTGAGATTTGTGGTGTGGACTTTAAAGTTCCGAAATTTCCAAATTACCGACAGAAAATGTTTGAACCAGGTCGGCTGAAGTTGACGTTGACGTTGACCGTTGACTTTTGACCTAGTTTGACTTTTAGCCAAGTGTTAGTTTTACAAGGTAGACTAAAAGTTTATCTTGTATATTTCATAGGAGGTGTGCAACACTGCTTCCTGATTATGTGAGATTGTTAGCTGTTAACTGTGTCCGTGAGGTGAGTCTTCTTACTATAGTATGTAGGATGTCAGTTGTCTTAGTGACTCTTGCATGAATACTGGACGGGGTCCGTTTGTATGCTGGGTGAGGCCTGTTTTTATGTTGGGCGGGGCTCGTTATGTGAATTGGGTGGGGCCCATCTTTTTATGTTGGGCGGGGGCTCGTTATGTGAATTGGGTGGGGCCTCTTATGGGCGTTGCCCAATATATGAGCTGAGCGGGGCCTATGGGCGAGGCCCGCCATGTTTGTTGGGTAAGGTCACTATTGGTTATGTGGTATTTTGGGGAACTCACTAATTTTTGTGCTTACGGTTTTTGTGGTTTAAATGATTCACGTACTTCTGGTTCTAAAGTGAAGGGTATGGCTTGATCGCACTGCATCCCTTTAAAGTTTATTTCCGTATTATCTAACTGATTTACTTTTATGTTTAAGAGATACATTGGCTTTTGATCAAATGATTGTATGGTTTTGGTGTTTTAAAAATGAAAATTTCTACTGATATTTTTGGAAAGTTACACGCGGCGCTAACCCTTATTTGCATTTAATTCAGTTGAGATTTTTTCGATGTCGTGATCATTTTTCTTTGAAGCTCCACAAGGCGCATAACACCTGACTCTGCCCTATTTTTTGTTTTCCGTCCTTTTTCAGCTCTCTTTCAACTCCTCTTTCAACTCCATATCAGCTACAAATTGTTTCTTTTGATTCAAGAAACAAATTTTCCTATCATTATCAAATAGAAAACATTCCGACCGAGCAGTATGCCATAACACCCAACAAACTCAAGTTCTATCCCTTTCCGAAGAGATAACAACAACATCCTTAGCAACCTCATTTTCCATTAAGTCACGACTTACAAACGACGTGACTTTCTACGGCTCGTAAAAGCTTGAGGTTTGACTTTGCTGCCAAGTTACACCTAGCATTATTTACAACATTGATTTTAAGTATCTTTTATCTTTAGTTAAAACATCTAAGCTCTATATATTAAGATAATTACCCCAAAATTTATAACTAATTTGGGAAATATTAGAAAATATCAAAGAAAAGATAGTTGATTCTTGCTGTGGTGCTATATTAAAGAAGGTGTGGTAGTTATCTAATAAGAGAGATCGAGACAGTGATAAAGATTTGGGTTGAATCGTCAATATATTTTTTCAAAACGAATCAACATATTCTTTAAGAATACCAAATTGTAATACTTTTTACATGATAGTTCACGAATTTTGTTATTCTTCAAGAATGACATTTGAATCCCAACCAATATGCATTAAGAATGTTGTTATTCTTTAAGTGATGGTGCAAGGATGTTATTATTTGTCAAAAATGCATTTGCATCATTATTTATCTTATTTTCGCTCATGTATTTTACTTTAAAAATATTTTTGTATCTTATTCTTTAAGAATGCAAAACAGAAATAGATAATATTTATATGATTTTTAAGTGTTTTGATATATACTAGTTCATAGAATCTCATTATTTGATATGTTATTAGTTTAAATAATGTATTTATTATTCCAATAATGGGTTTTTAAGAAGAAAAAATTAATTTAATATTCATAAACATATTCTTTAAGAATTCACACCATACTCATCAACATATTCCTTTGGAATATCCGAATTAAAACATCAATTATCCTCTAAAATCATATCTATTTGATTAAAATAATCAATCATATCTTATGATTCAGAATTTCCTTTTTCTAAATATAACTTAATCGACTAAAATACACTTATAAGGATGTTAGTGATATTATATTGTAGGTACACTTTCATTTTAATATTATACATCCTAAATCACATCCTTTCATTTTTTTCATCCATTGGTCCATAATGGTTTCTACGATTACACAATACTTGTTATCAACGATATAGCATAACTCTCTTTCTTTCTTTCTCTCTCTCTCTATATA